CAAACAAAAGGCATGAATAGCCTTGCGGAGGGGGGGGGGCTTTCAGAGTGCTCCTGCAGGGTGGGGGTGGGGGGCAAAAACAAGCAAAAAAAATTGTCAAAAAATTGCATGCATAGCCTTATGGAGGCTTATAAAGTGCTGCTGGGGGCTGGGGGAACAAAAACGGCCCATTTTTTGTTCATTTCTGCCCTCCCCAGCCCCCAGGAGCTCTCTGAAAGGCTTCACAAGGGTATGCACTTCCATTTTGGTGAAGGGGATTCGGGAGGCAAAAAATGCTGTATTCGATGTATAAGATGCACCCAGATTTTCAGCCTCTTTTTTGAGGAAAAAAAAGGTGCGTCTTATACTCCGAAAAATACGGTAGTTCATTCCTGCATTCTTGCCAAGTATTGCAGCATCTGAAAGATATTGGCCTGGCCACTCTCCAAGCCTGATAAAGGTCAGTAATTGTGAACTCTCTTGAAAGACTGTGGGAGAGGAAAGACTGCTGGAGAGGAATTCACTGTACATTAAATAAAAGGGGTTTATCGGGACGAGGACTCAGCTTCGTGCTTCTGGGGAAGCTTAGGTCAGAACATAAAACATGTCTTATTTAATAAACATAACTTGTGAGATAGGTTTTGCTGAGAAACACTGAGGGGTTGAAAATAATTCAGTGAGCTTCCGTGTCCAAGGGTGGATATGAACCTGGGTGCTCCTGGTCCCAGCCTAGTGCCTTAATCACAAAACCATTCCTGCTCTTTAGAACGAATACAAGAAGCCATTTTAAATAAAGCAAATGTGTCTTCAACTTACCCGCTGCTCTTGGCAGGACACAAATGTTTGGAAGCCAGGTGCCACTCCAAATCCCAGCTGGTCAATGAAGGGTGGCTCATCCTGGCTGTGGATTTGCACTTTAATCCCAGCTTCAAAGGATGTCTCATCTATGGCACAGAGAGATAGAAAGCATGGCAAGAGCAAGGGAGGTGGCCTCTTCCTTTTATTCTGACACTCTCCAATCCCCAGGGACATCATGAAACACATCCACGCATCGAGGAGAAGCATGATGTTGAAGCTACAGGGGCGTGGAGAGCAGGTTCTCCTGATCTTGTCAATACAAACCTGCCACAGTTTCCCCTGTTAAGGATTAACAACTTTTCTGGGCCAGTGAGTGCCTTTTGGAAGCCTTTTTTGGGTGTTGCCACAAAATGAGTGCCAGGATAAGGTAACGGAAAAGGTTCCCCTCACAGATATGTGCTAGTCGTTCCCGACTCTAGGGGGCGGTGCTCATCTCTGTTTTGAAGCCGAAGAGCCAGCACTGCCCGACAATGTCTCCGTGGTCATGTGGTCGGCATGACTAAACACCCGAAGGCGCATGAAACGCTGTAACTTTCCCATCAAAGGTGGTCCCTGTTTTTCTACTTGCATTTTTACATGCTTTCGAACTGCTAGGTTGGCAGAAGCTGGGACAAGTAAAGGCAGCTCACTCCATTACGCGGTGCTAAGGATTCAAACTGCTGAATTGCCGACCTTTTTGATTGACAAGCTCAGCATCTTAGCCACTGAGCCAGTACAATTTTCAAGTGCCAAGGTAGGTGAAATCAATTACAGACATTTATTTACCAGCAAATGGATGGGCTCGCAGCCCGAATTTTCCTCTACACTTAACCCTTTGTTTTTTTTCCCCCCTGAGCATCTGGGCACGCTTTCAAGCAAAACATTGGGCTACAATCCCCCCCACCTGTTTTCGTTGTCTAAGGAAGCCCAGAGGCCTTCTAATAAATAAAGATGGTTTAGAAATTGAGGTTTCCCTTTACAAGCATGCCAGCTTTCCATAAATTTCTTTAAACTAAAGGATGTGTTAAAATATTAAAATCAAGCAGAAAGGGGAGGCTGGTAAATATCAAAAAAGATGTTTTGGGCAGCACGTTGCTCCCCCCTCCCATTCCTTGATCTAACCTGCAGCAGTTTTAGGACTGTGATTGACTGAGCAGAATCAAAATACCCAAAGACTCAGAGAAACCAGTCTTCCCCCCCATTAATGCAAAGGTTGAGATTCAATCCAGGCACACATCCAGGGCAGAGGTGGGTTGCTGCCGGTTTTACTACCAGTTCGCAACCCGCGCATGTGCATTGTTCAATGTAAATTTTTCTTCGCGCATGTGCAGAAAAAGTTACAGTGAACTGCACAATGACAGTCACCAAAATCCAAAATGGCAGCGACCCAGTGGTAGCGAAGGAACCGGTTTGAGGGCGTGGCAGGCCTGGATTGCTGCTGGATTTGCAACCCAGGCCTGAATTCCACTACCGGTTCCGCTGAACCGGGCCGAACTAGGAGCAACCCACCTCTGATCCAGGGATACTAATAGCATTTTTGTTAAAACCAGGCACAGCCCATGCGGCTCTCTTTCTCTCCCCTTCTCCCTAGAAATGGAAAGCCAGCTAGGAATGCAAACATGCTTTCCACGTAGCCTCTTGATGACCTTTGATTAGGGACTCTGGCTTCACCCCCCTCCTGCAGTTTAAATAACACATTTTTCCCTTAACAGAACAAAATGCTATTTCTGGATGAGAGGCAGCTACCTGGTTGGCATTGCTAAGCTGGTTGCTATGGTGAATAGGACAGGAGCGAAGAGGGGGAGGCTGAGTAAGGAAACAGGATGTGGAAAGGCAAGATGAAGGTCTCAGGAGGATGTGCAAGTCTAGTTAAATGATTGAATGAGTCTTGGAGGAGGGGAGGGGGTTTGGGCAAATTGAGGCTGCCTAAGGATGGGCAGTGCAGAACAGTGGTGGGTTCCTACTGGTTCTGACCGGTTCGGCCAAACCGGTAGTGGTTTGGCAGCCTGGGTGGCTGCAACCGGCCATTTTTTTTGGGTTCTGCACATGCGCGATCAATTTTTATTGTACTGCGCATGCACGTGAAGAACACCTGCGCAGCCCGCCCTCAAGCGAACCAGCAGTAGTGGCTGCCGGAACCCACCCCTGATGCAGACTATACATGAAGGATTCTGCCATGAGGAGAAATAAGGAACTGATGCAGGGATAGGGAAGGAGAAAGCACTTTTACCTGTCTCTCCCCAGACCGGAAGGTATTCATCCTGTTGAATGTCCAGCATGATCTCCAAGCCATTGCCGGTGCCCCCTTTCATGGTGATGAGGGGTGGCTTGTCAGACTGGCCGGAGTTGAAGGTGTAGCACTTTCCGTAGCGGGTGAAAACCTGTGGAGGAGAAAAAGTAGGCTTAGGATAGGAGCCTCACACTTCCTCTTGGAGGCCAGCGGGCTCTCCTAGTCTTGATAACCAAGAGCAAGCCAGAAGAGAAGAGCATAACCTATAGCAGTGTCACATTGTGTCTTTCAACAAGTGTAATAAGTGTACTCTTTGAGCCTGGTGGACACATCTGGAACTTGGGAACATGTTGTGGCACTCTTGAAAAATGGCTGTAGGGGCAGAGACTTGCCCAGTTCCAAAATGGTTGCCACATTGATTTGCTACAATGGGTGGGGAACCATGGCCCTTGTCTGACATATATATATATGGAAAAGGGAGGACATTTTTTCTTTTTTTTCTTACTGCATTCTTATGTTCTGCAATGTGTGCATTTATTCTTCTGTTCGTTTGTCCTATGTATATTGCAGGGCAGACCTTAAAGCTACAAGACATGAAATTAATTTTGAAGGAACCAGGTTAATCTCCAAAACTGAACACTTCAACAAGAGAATAATTATGGAAGCTATCAAAATAGAGAAACACTCCCACATCATGAATAAATGTGATGATACCTCCCGCCTACCAGACATCTGGAAACCAGCCTTAGTCAACAAACAAGCCCCACCCAGCACCCAGGGCGTTACAACACGAAACCACAATGGACACACAGCCAGCACCAATCAGCACCAATCTACCAATCATGATACAACCACACAACCAATCATTCCACTTACTGAAACAAAAGCAGAACCCCACACACCCCCATCAAGATTTATAGAAAGACGGCAGCTCCGACCACGCTTTAAGCCCAAAACCCAACCTAAAGATGGTGAGTGAAACCTCGCCGAAACATTGCAAAGACAATCTCAATCTTACATGGGAAAAGACCCGAATACCATAAGACCAGCACACCAACATCTGTGAAAATCTACGAAAATTAAATATTTTTATCATAATATGCATTTATTGGTTTTACACTTGAATTTTCCTTTGTAGGGCAAAGTTAGAAACATAATCAATTTAATATTGTGTTTATCCTTATGAACCTCTTTCAGATTTACCTCCTTTTCAAATTTGCCTTTATTCTCTCCCTCCCCCCCCCAAAGAAAACATGGTCTCTGTAGGTATGCCTGGAAATAAAAATGATATTGCCTGGCTATTTCCTTTGCAGTTGCTGGCTCCCCTTTAAAAATATTATTCTTTTTAAAATGCCAATTCAACTGAAGGAAGGAGCAAAGGAAGAGATGTCTTTTTTTAAAAAAAAAAAGGTTTTTTTTTAAAAAAAATTTCCATAACCACTCTTGCATCATTAATCTTACAGTGTGTCATCTGGGTGCAGTCTTTGTGTCATCATATTTAACAGTTACATCATTTTAATCTATTTTTATCTTGCCTTTACGTTTACATTTCAATTGCCTTTTAATTCAACTCCTCCCCTATAATTCTACGTTCTTTTCCAAATTATTCAATTTTCTGTTTCTTTTTGTCTATATTCATTTTCTATCCAGTGATAAAAACATCCCCATATGTTATAATACTCTGATTCTTCCTTTTCTTTAATTGCCAACGTTAATCTGTTCATTCCTCCCTCTCCCTCTGTGGGAGTTTTTTCCATTTTCCAATTTTGTGCAAATACAATTCTAGCTGCAGTTATTACATGAATAATTAAATATACATTTTTTTTTACTATATTTCTCTGGTAAAATACCCAAAACGGTTCTGGCTTTAAATCAATATGCTGCTGTATCATCCTTGCCAAACAGATGTCTGAGGTGTCATTGGCAACCTGGATATCATCTTAGGGACTCACCTTCCTCCCTTTCCCAGTTCCAACTACTTTGGAACCAGTGAGTTCCACTATGAATAATGACCAGTGGGAAACAGTTAAGAACCAAAGACATGGCTTAGTGAAAAATTATATCCATTTGTTTGTTAGGCACAAGGAATGTGCTGGATTGGAGGTTAAAAAGTGCCATGCATAGAAGGAGCAGGCAGGATTCATTTGCTTTACGACTCAGGAAGCTAACTATCTGATGAATTCTCTTAAGACCAGTGGTGATCTTACATCCTTCAGTATGAACAACAATAACAACAACCGCAAATCACAGTGAAAGTGAACAAATACAAGTTCTGCTGAGCGAATTCACTGGTTGCACCTTCCATTAAAGGGCAGACTCTGCCCTGCTGGCATTTACACTCGTCTGCTGCTTACATTCATCTTTTACAGGTGGCCAAATAAAAGTCCCTGCCAAGCAATTCATATAACAAATAGCCAAAGGAATAACATTTGGCAACTGCTACTTGAGGAAAGCTTAAAACATTTGTAAACACATCTGGGTAGTCTTGTTTCTGCCTTGCCGGCATGTTTGAGCCAAATTATTGAAAGAATAAAATTCAGAGACAGACTGGGATAGACCATTCTGCATAAAGCCACAAAGAAAATATGCAAGGTTTCCCAATACCGCCATTCATGCAGAGTCTGTCTATTTATCTGTATATGTCATAATTTGACTTTTCCTTCTGCCGAGTTCTATAAAGTACTTATATTAAGTACTGTATGTCTCCATAGGAAGCCTGCTTGGGGTAATGCTTAAAGCAGGCAGGCTGGAAGCCAGGGGTCTGGGAGTTCTAGTTCTGCCTTAGGTACAAATCCAGCTGGGTGAGCTTGGGCCAATCCCTTTCTCTCAGCCCCAGCAAGTTGGCAACAACAAACCACTCTGATATCTTTGCCAAGAAAACTTCATGGACTTGTCAAGCAGGTTCTAAGAATCAGACACGACGGAACAGAAGGAAAAAAAAGTCTGATTGAAAAAAATAAAGGAAGAGGGAATGCGTCTAAGTATCCTTCCAATTTGGGGATTTTGTTCTCACATTTGGTATGTGCAGTCCTTGTCTTGAAATTGGTAAGATCTTGGTAACTACATGTGATAGATAAATAATTCAACTAACTCAATCCTCTTTTTAAAATATTTTTTCAGGTTTCTACTCTGCAGAAGTAGCCAGTACTTTAAATCTACTGAAATTAGGAAATAGTGAGCTGTGCTATGTATGCGATTGCACTTGATTTTAGAATCCCACAATTTCCTTGTCTCTGGTATTCCCCATTAAAGTTCACATCTTGTTCTTGAGTCAAGGATAGAAAGCAAGTATTGATAGTTACTAAGATTTCTGCCAAGACAAAAAGATTCAGGTAATTTATAGAAGACAATATTTGTAGCCCAGGGTTGAACTGTGGGATCCTTGCTGCTCTCTGAGCTTGGTTGTTTTCTTGTGGATGTTTCACTACCAAACTAGATAACAACATCAGTACTAGTCTGGCAATGAAACATCTGCAAGAAAATAAGCAAACTCAGGAAGCATCAAGGCCCCCCCACAATTTACACTCATTCTTATTAGTGAACATTTAGATAGCCACAATTTTGGTAGTAGGATCTTTCTCTACACAAATGCTAATCTCTGGGTTTCAGGCAGTTGGGAAATTCATTATTTTTTTTTTACTACTGGTTAGGTGGGCATGGATAGGTGGGCATGGTGGGGGAAGGATACTGCAAAATCCCCATTCCCTCCCCTCTCCTGGGGAAAGGATATTGCAAAATTTCTATTCCCACCCCAATCTGGGGCCAGCCAGAGATGGTATTTGCTGGTTCTCCAAACTACTCAAAATTTCCACTATCGGTTCTCCAGAATCTGTAAGAACCTGCTGAATTTCACCCCTGGTTTCAGCCAAACAAGATCTAATATTCTCCCATCCCCTCAAAGACCCCATCCTCTGTACAGGTCACCCAGTATGCATTCTTGATTTGTTAATCCCAAATTAGCACATATCATGCAAAGCAGTAATTAAGACCATGCTGTATTTTCAGTTATTTAAGAAACCATGAACTTGTACATTGGAAATCTAAACTATGACATAATTATGAATGATGCAGAAATAGCAAATATTTAATTATTAATAATTATTGAATTAACTGCTAGCTAGCAACTGCTGCATTTTTGGAAAGCATTCTGCTATTATTTTTTTGTTTGTTATGCTTTTAGGATAACCGGTATGGGGGAAAAAAAGAGATTTTCCTTCTTAAGAAGGCTCAATTAAAATTTCTGTAAAGGTGAATGCAATGAAAAACAAGATATTCCAGCCAGATACCACCTCAAGGAGAAGTTTGCCTTGACTCTTATATTGTCATGTTATGTACTCAGGATTGCAGCATCAATGAAAAAGTAGCTTACAGTATTTTAAAAAGATTAGTTGCTTTTCCTTCAGCTATCATAGTTGCTGACAAATGGAAAATTGGGAAAAGGTGTTACAGTTCTGTGTACCTTTTGGGGAGGGGTCATAATTTTAACTCGAGGAATAAACTTTGCCTTGTCCTTAGCCTACTGCTATAAAAGATTGTGACTTGGGAGTAGGTAGATAGTATGATCTCAGAAGCTCCTTGGGTAGGAAGGATCTGTATATCATAGAAAAGAGCAAATTGAGAAATGTTGGGGTGGGTGGGGGACTGTTAGACCAAGGGGTGTCAAACTCAAGGCCCACGGCCTAGATCCGGCCCACAGGGTGCTTAGATCTGGCCTGAGGGCCGCCCTGGAAACAGCAAAGGACTGACCCACAGTTCGTCTGCCATTGAAACAGAGTTTCGGAGGGCCACACGTGGCCCTTCTGTGTTCCATTTTTGGCCGTGATAGCCTCCTGCAGCCCCCTGACAGTGAAAACCGAGCTTGGGAGGGCTGTGTGCGGTCCTCCTGAGCTCCGTTTTCACTGGCAGAGGGCTGCAGGAAGCCATCATAGCCAAAAAAGGAGCCTCAATGAGTGATGTCAAGCTGCCTACACCCCTCTGTCCCCCTCCGAGGACAAACACAACCTTAATGCGGCTCTCAATGAAATAGAGTTTGACACCCCTGAACTATGAGGTCTGAGATGATCTGTGGTTTGGAGAAAGCTTTTTTCCTCACCTTTCTTTTGTTTGCGCTTCTGTCATTTTCTTCACTTAGGTTGCTGAGTCACCTGCTCAGCTCACCGCTGTGGTTAGCATTGTGCTTTCCTTTCTCTTGATTTGAGGCTTTGTTTTCATCCTTTTTATTCACGGAAGCTGTTGATTTGCCCAATTTAGTCTCTTGATGGATTCCAAGATTTGTTTTATTCATTTGAGGAGAGTCTTTTTCGGTTTTTCTCTCTGGGAGGGCCAATGGCCTCCTGCTATAAAGGTTTGAGAGTAGGGCCAGAATCAACAGTTGGGGTGACCAGAGGAGGCAAACTCCACAGGAAATCATTATCTGTTTCAGTGGTGGGTTCCAGATCCCATTACAACTGGTATGGTGCAATGGGACCCAGCGTCTCCCACATGCACATGTGCAGCACACGTACACAGCACGCACAAGCGTCCTTACTTCTACGACGCCTCTGCGACGCTCCAGCTGCTCGGCAGAGCGTTGTGCAGGTACCGTACGTTCTGTGCATGGAAGAGCTCACACACAGGTAAGGCGCTCAGGTGGGCAGGTGGGCCCTCCAGAGCATTGTACCGGAACAGTACCCGGTGTTCCCAGCAGGCACCGGTAGGCCCGTATTGGGGCGTACTGCCTGCAATCCACCACTGATCTATTTCCTGGGAGAAGAAACAAGTTGGTGTGCAAGAGGAAACTCGAGAAAGGAATTAAGAAACATGGCAGTGGCATCTGGAGACTAAACTGGAAGACTAACGGTATGAAAATGTTCTAAGAAACTGTGAAGGGCATAGCATATTTGTTTGCCTGCCTGACATTCGCCTGAACTACAACTAGGACAAGTTAAAATAACTCTGTCGGAAAGAACAGACAAGAAGATTCAGGGCAGCCTATATAAATGATAAAGAGGATAAAAGATTTTTAGATGGCAGGCAGAACAGGAGAACATCAAAGCTAATGTCATTTTCTACACTGAAAGAAAAGAACAGGAATGGGTAAGAGTAGAATATATTTAGACCACAAACTTCAAAAACACAATCTACATAAATGCACCGAAATGCATTTTTAAACCAGAGAGCAAAAATGCTCAGATACAATATTTAATAATTCAAGTGACTCATGTTTTTGATTGGCAAATTATGGATGGGGAATGATATGCATTTCTTTAATCTGTGGCTGACTGTACCACAGTCACAAGATTCAGGCCTGCTGAAAGTACTTGGATGTGAACTGGTGGCAAGTCTGATCAAGTTCTCCTTCCCTTGTGGTCATCTGGTTTTGCTTTAGAACAAGCCACAACTAACTATGATCCATATCTTGGGGAGCTATGGTTTGTTTTAGTCATAGCTACATTTTGGCTTTCTAATCTACTATAATCTTTCTCTTCACTGTCAATCAGTCTCCCCCACAGAACTCCAGAGATGGGAGAGTGAACATCTGCAGCAGGAAACTGCCATATTTCGCTAGGTTTCATGAACAATTTGAACAATAACATTCCTGGTTCCTAAGTCTACATCATGAAGCCTACTATAAGTTCACTGGTCAATCTTATCTCCATGCTACAATCCCTTTCTCTTTGTTGCTCCATTAAATTGCCGTACGCTTCCTTAGTCGAAGGTTCACTATATTCAACTCTATGAATTTTTATTAATTTTGCCCATTGCATTCTGCTTCTAAATTTCAGGATTAGAAAGGAATTGGAATCCCGGTTAGAACTAGAGAAAGTAACAACACTGAAATATATAGAAGGATAACCAAGGTAGACAGTATATAGCTGAAGTGGTAAAGGCCAAAATGCTGTCCAAAATATTAATATATGAGTTCCAAATGCCTGGTACTTAGAAGACATGCTGACCCACAATTGGCTGCATGCTTTCATGGCTTTTGTTCACAAGTCAAAGAAATACACCTTGAAATTTCAAAGGTACCCATTTTTATACACATTCCAATTTCATTGAGAGCAGAAGGGAACAGCAGACACAAAAAGGACTAAAACACATACACCTCTGACCCTTTCCACTGGATCCATCAAAATGAGAGGAGAAAACATGGCTCAAAAAAGAGGGAAAATTATTATTTTATGTACTCCTTTGAGTTTCAGATACCACTTCTCTTTCTTGCTCTATCATCAAGGGAGCAGGCAAAATTCTTTTTTTCTTTTTCCTCTAAGTTAACCCAATTGTTAGCCAAGTGCAATACAAGTACAATCCTCTTCTTTTTAAAGTCCCCCACAGAACACCATCCTGAGAATAAAAAGCTGATTTTCTGTCATTCTGAAACAGAAAACACACAACTGGAAATCAACTGAACATACGGTAGTTTAAAAAAAGAAAATTCCCAAACTTTTTGCCTTTGAGATGAGCCCAGTTCCTAGTGTCTACGTGAATACAACTAAGCATTTTGTTTTGACAATAGTATAGTGTAGAAGTGGTTGGCCATTTGCCTTTTAAAAGGATCTGGTTGTGATTTCCCAGCCTTGTTATTCACTGAGAGCTTGCATTCTCAACTATTGGCTGAACCTGCTTAATTGATTAGTCTAGATAAGCAATAGCAATAGCACTTAGACTTATATACTGCTTCACAATGCTCAACAGCACTCACTAAGCAGTTTACAGAGTCAGCCTATTCCCCCCAACAATCTGAGTCCTCATTTTACCGACCTCGGAAGGATGGAAGGCTGAGTCAATCTTGAGCCTGGTGAGATTCGAACTGCCAAATTGCAGGCAGCTGGCAGTCAGCAGAAATACCCTGCAGTACTGCATTCTAACCACTACACCATTGCGGCTCATGAGGTCAATGAGAGGCTGCCATCTGCCCAGACTTTCTCTAAAACCAGTGAAAACGTAAACAAGCTGTCCCTATCCATTACATGCATGACCCCACAATCTTGTATCGTGCCAGACCACTGCAGCCCTTGCCTCTTCCCCCCCCAAATTAAAAATGCCCCCCCCCTGAAGTATTGCCATATGCCAATACTTTAGCAGTCTGCTGAAATAATAACTTTGCAACTGCAGGACCCAACAGTTGTCTGTTGTCCTCGCCAAGAGTCCCCCTTTCCCCAATCCTGACTTACAGTGGTGAAGTTGTGGGGGCCACAGCGCTCACCCTGAAAGTGGCAGGAGAGCAGCATTTCCTCGAGCTGGTGGCCCAGCCGGTCCAGCCAACGGTGTGTGGATTGCTCCTGTGGTGGCAAGGGGGGCAGATAATGGGAGAAGTCCAGCAGGTTCCCCAACCAGAGCCACTGGGCGTCCCACAGGAGGGTCTGCACAGCAGGCGCGGGCTGCAAGTTTTTGTTGAGCAGACCAAGCCAGTAGCCCCCGAGGTGGAGATCCGCTCGACTCATACGACGTAGTAGCACCAGGTTGTTGTTGCAGAGGGTGACAGCGGGGAAGGTCAGGTTGGGGGAGTAGAGGATATGCAGCTTGGTGTGAACAGGCCAAGAAAGCAGATAATGGATGCGGTTGGATGACCAGGTCAAGAGCAAGGCCATGGAAGCCAGGATAGCCATCAGCCAAAAGGCACGGTGTGGGCAGGACAGGTGCACTGAGAAGACCTGGTGAAGTCCATGGAACTTGATTTGCTTCAGGGAAAAGCGAGGTGGGTCTACAACACAGCCACTCCTGCTGCTTTCCATATTAGCAATCGGAGAGATGGAGAAGCCAGCCTGGGTTGAAGGATGTATCTCTTTAACAAGCTGTATTCTCCTCATCATCTGAGCTCAAACGCTGCTGCTTCCGTATCTCTTTATCTCTATCTCAGTGGCTTTGGCTGGTACTGCAAAGAGGTGGGGATGCTGTGAGAGCTGGCTGAAGGATCAGTAGCCTCTCCTAGTTACAAAGAGACTGTGTGTCGAGTAGCTCACGCACTCAAAGAGCCACCTAGAGCATGCCAGAGCCAAGACAGGCAGGAGGAAAGCAGGCAATAAAAGGAGACACAGGGAGGAAGGCGGGGAAGGAAAGGGGAGTGGAAGAAAGAGAGAAAGAAGAGAAATGGGGGTGTACAGAGATGATTCAGAGGCATCGGCTTGGTTAAGAGAAGGAAGACTTAGCTGAACAATAGAGGAAAGCACAGAAATGAAAGCAATGCTGGCTGAAAGAAAGAGGAGGGGGAAAGACAGAAAAATAGCACATAGGGGGAAATGGCATGTAGTTATTTAGAAAGAAATGGTGCCTGACAGGCAGCAAAGCAAACTCAAGTGAAGTTCGGCACCTATCCAGTCAGTTTGGTTGATTGAAAGCATATGTTAAACAACCAACAATTGTCCTTTCCCCAGCATCTATGAGCTATATCTATTTGATTCTCCCTCTTGTGGTTACCTTGCATTAACCACCCTCTCTATAGGGCTCTTTGCATGAGATTTCCTGAAAAGGGATGCAAATATTTTATTTGGATTTGCTTTTTTTTCTGAGCAAGCACATAGCTCTATGCCTCTTTTGTCTTAAAATATGTAGATGAGGGAGGAGGAGGTGACTGGCTGTTTACAATCCCTAGCATGGGAATAACGAATAATGTAAAATTGCACAATGTAAGATTAGTTTTAGACAAGTAGTCCCTGGCACCTGGACAAATGGAGTTAGGCATCTTTACCGCCAGGAATTAAAATTTGTAGTATGTTTTGAGCATGATGCAAGTAAGTACATACTTGGGCTCCTTAGAACATATAAAGGGATGCGGTGGCTCAGTGGCTAAGACGCTGAGCTTGTCGATCAGAAAGCTTGGCAGTTCGGCGGTTCGAATACCTAGCACTGCATAATGGAGTGAGCTCCTGTTACTTGTCCCAGCTTCTGCCAGCCTAGCAGTTTGAAAGCATGTAAAAATGCAAATAGAAAAATAGGAATCACAGTTGGTGGGTGGGTAACAGCATTCTGTGCACCTTTGGCGTTTAATCATGCTGGCCACATGACCACAGAGATGTCTTTGGGCAGTGCTGTCTCTTTGGCTTTGAAACGGAGATGAGCACCACTCCCTAGAGTCAGGAATGACTAGCACGTATGTGTGAGGGGAACCTTTACCTTTAGGACATATACCAAAGATATCAGCAGTTGAAGCAAATGGGAGAAAGTTTCAATACAAATACTGCTTATATTAATGCTGTCATCTCCCAGGAAGATGAATGCTTGCAATATTTATTATTTGGACATCCCTGAAAGTTTACTGGTAAAGACAAATGGATGTTGGAAACAGTCTGAATAAGGGCAAGTACACATGTCCCAGCATCCTGCAAGAATCTGAATAAGCTATTCATTGAAATTCAAAGTAAGACCAGGGGACAAAGTATCCTACCTTAAAGAGCAGAGAGAAACAACAAAGCATGAAGGAAACAAAGGACCATGTACAGAAAATTAGTAATGACAGAAAGGCACCAACTCAGGAAACAAAATCTACCCTGTGTTTTATTCTTTGTATCTAGTGCTTGAAGAAGAATGGATCTATGCAGAATCTTCAAGCTTCTAAACAAAATAATCAGACACTGCGTGTTCAGGAGGCGATCACGAGGCTCATCAAACCAGGCATCCAGAAAACCTCCATAGATCTGATGGATGCTTATTTTGCACATCTCTATCAGATGAGCACAGCACAGACTCCTCAGATTCAAGGTTGGACAGGAGCGCCAGCAGTTTGAAACTCTTCCCTTTGGTGTAATTTCAGCACACTGTGTTTACTCAAAAGATTGCAAGCCTGATGTAGTCCACCAGAACACTCTTAGAGTGTCCGTACTTCTGCTTATCTGGATGATCTGCTCATAAAGTGTTTTTTAAGGGGAAGGACAATAGACAGCATACCCTTGGAAGTTCCAGTCCTGAGGAATCACAGATGATCACAAATGAACTCTCCAGACAGATCTGCACTTGTAGCTACAGAGAGAAGGCAAGCAGTTCCTATCCCCAGAACAGCCACTCAAGCTGCAGAGCAAAATAAGAGAGGATTTAGCCTCCAGGAGGCAGACTCAGGTGATAATAGGGAGACTGTAGGGGAATAATGGTAGTGGCCTTGGATACACTTTCATTCCAGAGGTGGTATTTGCAAGTTCTGACCAGTTCTGGAGAACCGGTAGCAGAAATTTTGAGTAGTTCCGAGAACCGGTGAATACCACCTCTGACTGGCCCAGCCCCCATCTATTCTCTGCCTCCCGAATCCCAGCTGATCGGAAGGCAATGGGGATTTTGCAGTATCCTTCCCCCGCAGTATCCTTCCCCTGCTCACCAAGCCACACCCACCAAGCCATGCCCACAGAACCAGCAGTAATTTTTTTTGAATCCCATCCCTGTTTCATTCCATACCAATTCAGTTGATTCCTGCTCCCATTCCAGGGCCAAACAGCCTATCGATTCCTAGCTGTGCAATCATGCAGGCTGCCCAGATTGTTAAGAAGTGGCTGAAGCCAGTTACTTCTTACATGAAGAATGCCTTTCATCAACCTGAGCAGGGCAGTTAACCACAGACTCCAGCTGAGAGGCTGGGAAAGTCATCTTCAGTCCTGTTCAGGCCAAGAAGAGTGGTCCCAATTCAAGTCATTGTGCCAATCAGCTGCCAGGAACTGTAAGTGGTGTACTTGATGTTAATGGACATGAAACACCTGGTGAAGGGGAGAGATGTTCTGATAAGAATGACCAACATCACAATCAAAGCTAAGGTCAATGCATAATGTAAGACAGGGGACTCCAAAAGGAGGCAGAATGCCTGATGAAGAGGGCAGGACATCTGACCTTCATATTGGCAGATTATGGAAAAGGGGTCTGTGAAACAATAATGGACTGGTTAAGCTGCTAGTGTTTCTTGCAGGGGAGATAGATGCTGTATCCAGAAATAAAGGATATCATATAAGCCAGGGATGTCAATCTGGTGGCCCGCAGGCTGGATGCTAACCTGCTTGTGATAGCAGGTAACAGGCAGATGATCCTTACCAGGGATGGGTTTCGGTGAACACTACTGCCAGTCCACTTGCATGCGTGCTTGATGCACACTGGGCGTGCATGCACAGTGTAATTAAAATTGTTCTGCGCATGTGCAGAACTGAAAAACAAGATGGCAGCGCCGATGGGGGAACCAGTTTGGGAGCTTGGCAGGCCTGGGTTGTTGCTGGTTCCAGTGACCCAGGCCACCAAACCATTACCAGTTCAGCCGAACCGGTCCAAACCAGTAGGAACCCATCACTGATTTTTACAGTAAATTCAAGCACTGATGTGGCTGGCCGGCACCAACCTTTACATATTATCTTGTTTTTAAGAAGCAATGTATTGGAGAGTTCCAGTGGTGGGATACGACCGGCACGCCCTGGTACGGGCATACCGGTGCCTGCTGGGAGCACCAGATACCATTCTGGTACGGTGCTCCGGAGAGCCCACCCGCCCTCCCGACATGTATTTGAGCCGATCGGGGCTTCCGCGCATGGAGCGTACGACACCTGCACGACGCTTCACCGAGCAGCTGGAGCGTTGCGAGTGGTAAGTACACATGCGTGTGTTGCATGCGTGCATGTGGTGGACGCTCGGCCCCGTTGCACCATACCAGTTGCACTGGGGATCTGGAACCCACCACTGGAGAGACCCCTATGTTTCGTATACCTTACATATCTTCTGCAGAATAATTTACTTTGCATGAATAATAAAACTAGGTGTGTCGAGACACATAGACAGAATTTATGCTGGAAAAACTGGGCTCAGAATGGTGAGTGTGCATGTTTTACAGGCCTGCATCAGCTATTGTTAACCTTGGAAGGAGATGTCGATGTCAGGGACAGCTTGCGATGTGCGCGGCGTGCCAGATGGAAGCAAGACAATCTCTACTGTGGGGAGGGAGACGGAGGCTGCGTTCACAGAAGCATATACAGCACTGAATGAATCACAGGCCTGGTTCAGGGTGACCATATGCCATTTTTAGAGGACAATCCCCTATTTGAAGCGGTGTGCCTGGAAAGGTCTACTTTGACAAAAAGAAGACATAGTGAGAAACATACAAAGCGGGAAGGCCCCCCTGGAAGATGCTTTATTGATAGCTTTTATGTTTGCAGCAGACTGAGCAAGAACACAGAATCCAAATTTCTCTGGCTTCCCATGGAGTAGGGGAGTGTGGAGGAAGAGAAAGGACACAGTCCTGAAGCTTGTATAGTTTGTGTCTTTCCTAGCACAACCAATATTTGCAGTACAATTCCATGCATGTCCAATTTTGAGGAATAAGTTCTTAATGAACATTGTGGCATTTACTTCCAGGTAAACAGAAGAAAACTATTTTTAAATTTGGAGCCCAAGCTTTATTTTTGCACTTTTTGCATTACAATACTTTGATTTTCCTGTTTTACAATCTTACCACCAATTCTCTTTTTCTATGTACATCCAGTGTACAAATTTTTGCACATGCTCAAACACATTGGTTAAGTCCCAGCAGGAGCATTCACACATCATATGAAGCCCAGCTAGGTTTAATCTTGGTTAGTTTTTCTATGGCTTAATATTTTATAAAGAATCCAGTCAGTTTGATTATTTAATGGCTCGGTATATTGTGCAAACCCAGATAATGAATCAGTTCAATAATTAAGCATGTTGGACTCCGAAAAAAAAATGCTTAAGGTCTTTGAGGAAACCGAGCCATTTCCAAAAGCATATAGTATAATAAATCAATTAGAGACTTTTAAGACACCTCAGGACTCTATTACTGTTTTTGTTACAGAGTAATACCATTTAGCCTTCACTTTGAGAATTGCTACCATAA